TTTTTTGGTCTTTTTGAGACAGGGTTTCTCTGTAGCCCCAGCTGGCCTTGAACTCACGATGTAGACCAGGCTGGCCTTGAACTCACAGAGATCCGCCTGCCTCTGCCTCCCAAGTGCTGGGATTAAAGGCATGCGCCACCACACCCGGCTCAGCTTTAATTTTTAAATATACTTTTATGTCAGGATGGTGATAGATGACTCAGCAGGTAAAGGTACTTACCGCCAAGTGTGATGACCTGAGTCCATCTCCGTCACAGGAAGAGGAGCCTGTTCCCACTGGGTAGCCTTCTGGGTGCATGGTTCCCACAGGAGGGTGCTAGAGGGTGAAGGGAGGGAGGCCTCACCTCCTGAGACATGTATGTGGATGGTTGAGTGAGTCAAGGAAGACTCCAGCGTGCTTCACAGAACACTGCCAGACCTTCAGAGCTGCTGCCCCAATGGCGCCTTCAGCCTGTAATGTGTGTTAACTATGGCCTTCATCTTTGGAGTCTTAGAGTCTAATGCTTATGAGTGCTGTGCAGTGTGCAGTAGCTTCCAGTTTAAGTGTTTCCTGTACTGCGTTCAGGTCGTCCATCTTGGCAGGTGTCCTGGTCCTTTTGTTCCTTGTGAAGAAAAGCTTGCCAGGGCATTTTCAGCCTTTATGCTGCCCTGCCGCCACCGCACATCTGAGTCATGGGGGCCATGTGCCTTTGGTCTGTACCCTGTGTCTCTTAGTACAAAAATCCTCTGTGTCCTGCTTAGTGCAGATGGGCGTGTTCAGCCCTGAGGTTCTGCTTCAGGATTTGAAATGATGGCCAGTCTAGTAACACTAAAGTGACATTGCATTGTGGGATTTTTGTTGTTCTTTGTGTGTGTTTGTGTGCGTGTGTGTTTGTGTGTCCACCTGTGCACGTGAGGATAGAGGTTGATGTCAGGTGCTCCTTCAGTTACCCCCCCCTTGTATATTCTCTCAGATGAACCCAGAGCTCTCCAGCCAGGTCTAGCTAGCCATCTCGCTCTGGGGATCACATCTTTACCTTGCACATGCTGGAACCATAGACCACCATACCCACAGTATTTCCATGGGTGCTGGGTCCTCACACCTGAGACATTTCCCCAGCCCTGCATTGTAGCATAATTTTGATTTCTCTGATGGTCGGTGAGGTTAAGGGCTTTCATAGCTTGTTTTATGTAGACATGCTAAGTTTAACTGGTTCATGTTCTTATGAGTGTAGAATGGTGTGTGGTGTGGAGCTGTCTTTGTCCGTTTCCACCTTCAAGACTATCTAATGATGGGAACACATGCTGATTCCTCCTTTCTTCCTTTCCTCCCCCCCGCAGCTGCGGATAACCGTCTGGTCCCTGTGCACTAAGTCTGTGTCTTATATCAAGTACCCCAAAGCCTGTCAGCAGGGTGAGTCTGCCAGAACCACTCAGACTTGGGTCTTGTAACAGTTCCAGGAGTGTAGACCTTTCATCATGGAGAAAACAGATGGCCTTAGCTACAGCGGCTCACTTCTCCTAGCCGACCCTAACCCCAGTACCTTCAGATGGATCCTCTCTCTGCCTGTTCCTACCTGTGTCTCTGGAACACAGCCTCTCCTTGTTGTCTCCTAGCTGTGGGGATGCTGAGGAAGGTGGCAGAGAGGAATAGCTGCAGGAGCTCGGTTCCCTTCCTTCAGTCGGGTTCTGGGCTCCCCCTGCTGGAGTGCAGAGGGGCTCACCTCAAGCTCCTAGCTGTTGGCTTCAGTTCACTAACTCTTCTCTGGGGGAATCACAGCCTGTCATGTCTGGGATTCCAGAAGAGGGAGACGTGCAGGAGCCTTTCCCCACTGGAGCCTCACATCCTCCTGGGAGGTGATGGGATGGGTATTCAGGTGGGCTGACATAATGCTCTCCAATCCAGAAACCATGTGTAACACAGGCAGCCATCAACAGATTGGAAATTACATTGGAAGGAAATGCAGTTGTACATTTAGTTTTGATTTTTGTGGTTTTAATGTTAATCTACCTGGAGGACATTCGTGCTTCTGAGAAGAAGTGGTCCTTTATGCCATGTGAGGACCTGAGTTCAAGTCCCAGAACCTGTGTAAGGGTCAGGCCCAGTGGCACAATGGGAGGTGGAGACGGGACAGTCACCAGAAGCTAGCAGGCCAGCTAGCCTGGCACATACAGTAACCCAACAACAAAAGGTGCTGTCACAAACAGCACAGAGGGTGAGGACACACCAAGGCTGGCCGCTGATCTTCACACAGGTGCGTGCTTTGGCACGTGTGCTTGGATTCACACAGCAGTAAGCTAACTTCTGACTATCTGAAGTCCCTGGGGTAGGTACTGAATAGACCTGCATTCAGTCAGTAGCACCTCGTCATTCCTCAGGAATCAGCACTTTGGCCCAGTTCAGAGTCTCTATAGATCAGTCCAAGTCCAAGTCCCGCATCTTACCTGTGAGGGGAGAGGCCTCCGCTCTTCAGGTTCCCTATCTATAGGCTCCCTGTTCTCTTGGCTCTGCTTTCTCCTCCTTCCCAGAAGTCACTGCTGCGCTGTATCCGTTTGTCCACTTCCTGGTTTCAGCTTACCCTCCTCTCCGGCAGGAATAACTTTCACCAGGGATGGCCGCTACCTGGCCCTGGCAGAGAGGCGGGACTGCAGGGACTACGTGAGCATCTTTGTGTGCAGTGACTGGCAGCTCCTTCGGGTAGGGCTATCCCCTCCTGGGCAGTAGAGCCATCCTGCCGGCTGGGGAGGGGAGGGTAGAGCCGGTACTCCTGAGGGCTCTGGGGCCTTTGGTCCCATCAGAGGGTGGGGGTGCTGTGTGTGACTTGAAGCAGCACACACTGAGTGTGAGCAGACTCCATGGTGTGCAGTTGGTACTAGTTAGCATGCCACTTTGAGCGCTAAGTAAGTGTATTTGCATCTGTGTTTGCCTCACTGGGAGGATGCAGTTGAGTTTCACACCGACAGAGGCCTGGCTCTGGGCATACTGCTTCAGGAGCACATTGCCCTCCACACACATGGCCTTCAGACCTATGAAACATTTCAGTGCCATACTGTTAGAGGACCGTGTGAGGGAGGACTTTGGGGAGCAGGGCCCAGCAGGAACGCTGCTCTCTGCACTGGTTTTAGACAGGAGAGGTTTGCCGGGGAAGGAAAGGGTGAGTTGGCACAGGACACGGGGGCCTGGAGGTGAGGAGATGAGGGCCTTGCCCAGAGTGGTGCTGCCAGGGACAGTCTGTGCACTTCCCAGCATGGCATGTGATCATAGTGTCCATTTTAACATGAAACGGCAAATGTGTTTAAAGCATCAGTTATAAAATAAATGCATTTATTTAAGGAAATGTTTCCAAATTGTCATGTTTTCTCTCCCTTTGGAAGCACTTTGATACAGACACCCAGGATCTTACAGGGATGGAGTGGGCCCCCAACGGCTGTGTGCTGGCAGTATGGGACACCTGCTTGGAGGTATAATACACGACCAGTGGCCCGTTCCTTTAAGAGCACTCACCTGCAGGCGCCTGTGCTCTTGAGTGCGGCTAGCTGGAGGGCGCTGACGCATTTCAGCTGACAACAGGAACTCGGGTTGGCAGTAGTGAAGTGCGCACTGCCACCCTGCACCTTCCCATGTTGTCCCTGCCTCTCTGGTGACCACCTCCCTTCTGATTCACAACTTCAGGGTCCCCACACTTCGTGGATGCACACAGGCGCCTTGTCTCGCAGCCCGGCCATGTACTTGGGTGCCTCTGACTGTCTCAATGTCTTGTCTGCAGTACAAGGTTCTACTTTACTCCTTGGACGGCCGGCTGCTCTCAGCATACTGTGCCTACGAGTGGTCCCTGGGCATCAAGTCTGTGGCCTGGAGTCCCAGCAGCCAGTTCCTGGCCATTGGGAGCTACGATGGCAAGGTGGGGGATGGCTCAGGGCACGGGGCAGCCTCAGGAGTCGCTTGCTTGTCACACACTTCCTTCCTCAGGTACGACTCCTCAATCATGTGACCTGGAAAATGATCACTGAGTTCGGGCATCCTGTGGCCATTAATAATCCCAAGACAGTAAGTCTGTGAGCATGCGGTGCCTCGGGTGCTGTGGGAGCCGCTCTTCACCTCTGTCAGCTGTTGTGATGTCTGCCCTACCCCTACGTCGTAGCACACTCACTTTGACAACAGGGTGTGTCTAGTGCCAGGCTCCTGTGATCTGTGCTTCTGTCCCAGCAATACTCTTGGTCTGTCCTCTTACAGACCCGATGTCTGAAAAGGAAATGCTGAGCATCTTCCATCCTATCAGGCACTGCTCTGGGCCTCAACCAGAAGGAAGCAGATAGACCCCGACCCCTACAGAGTGGGGGTTGGGACAGGCAGGGAAGGGTTGGGAGAGGTCGGTGTCTGCATGGGCCTGGTGGAGACATTTTAGGTCTAGGGTCCAGAAAGTACAATGATCCTAGAGTGGGAGGGGCATTCTCTTGCTCGTCAGTGTTAACAGGTACCCACTTGTCACTGGTCTGGATCCTGGGACACAGCAGGGGTGAGGGCAGACTTGGGCTTCTTTGTGGAGTTCACCCATTCACAGAGGTTAGACCTGAGGAGGGCAGCCTGGGCTGTGGCAGGGCTAGGTGAACTGTCTAGGGCTGTGTCAGAATCCCAGAGGCAGGGTGAGGAGCCAGGCCGAGGCCGGCTTGGGCTGGAGAGCCTCTTGCAGGGGCAGCAGTTGAACATGGACACTCACTGGTGAGGAGAGATAGAAAGCTCAGGGCCACGCAGGCTGCAGCAGCTCCCTGTAGCTCCTACTTCTCCCCACGTCTTGACCATGCATGTGGTGGTGCTAGTTTCTGTACCTGGGACTCCAGTGCTCCCCATGAACCAGGTGTGAGCCGGCAGTGTGTCACTGAACATGTGAGCAAAGGGAAGAAGAGGTCTGTTTGCTCAGAGGTTCTGTCCATGGGCCCTCGGCCTTGTCCCTTTGGACCTGTAGTAAAGCAACACGTAGGAGCGAGCGCATGGCAGAGCAAAGCTGCTGACCTTGTAGTGGCCAGGAAGCAGAAAGGCGAGAAATCGTGGGGTCCCAGTGTGGCCCTTAAGGAGACACTTGGTGGCCTGCCTCCCTCTCATGAACTGCATTTCCAGTACTGCCACAGGCCACAGCACCAACTCCCACACCTCCCTCCTGGGACTGTGCACTACACAGCGTTGCTGCTTGCTGGCCTCCAGCCTGGTACCCACTTCTCCACTGCTTACCACACCTGAACATGCATGTGCAGTCCACCACCACCTGGCTCTGAGAGACGTGGCTCACTGTCCAACCCAGCCACATGCTCGGTGCCTGTTTTTAAAGGGCAGCCTGGTCAGGACCAAGGAGGTGACTGAGCTACCCTTCTGTGTCAGGGTCGGGCTGGCTGCTGCTTGCAGTGGTGTGTCTGGTACTTGTGTCGGCCACTTCCCCTGGCTTCCTGGTCCCTGACAACACTGGTTGGTGGCTGCATCATGTCTTTCAGGTTGTATATAAGGAAGCTGAGAAGCACCCACAGCTGGGGCTAGGCCGCCTGGCCTTCCCTCCACCCCGAGCAATGGCTGGTTCCCTCTCTACCTCAGAGAGCAAATGTAAGCGGCAGAGGGCCGGAGTCCTCCTTGGAAAGTCTACTTCTTAACTGGTTGGTTTTTGGTGAGGGGGATTTTGAGTCTCACTTTACAACCCTGGCTGGCCTTGAACTCTTGATCCTCCTGCATCAGCCTCTTTAGTATCTGAATCGTAGGCGTTCTTTGTATGAAACTGGCCTTTCCTTCCCCTTCCTATATCTACCATGTGCCCTCCTCCCAGCTGCCCAGAGGGCTTAGAGTCCTGGCACCCTGAGGCATCTTCTAAGTGAACAAAATCTCTGAACTGCAGAGGGAGTTAGGAGGCCGTGAGTAGACGGTTGGGCTTGGTGGTGGCTTCGCCTGTTACTTCACAGGAGCCTGCGCTTATACTAACCATCTCTGGAAGGGAGCGGGTGTGGTGAGGGCACTTGTCCCACAAAGATGCAGGGACCTGACTGAAAATGATGGGACAGCAGCCAGGCGACATAGGCCTGGAGGGTTGAGGGCAGCCTGGCTCACCTCCTGCTCGTCTCATCATCTCAAAGCTGGAAAAGGAAGGTTGGGGCAGATTGTGCACTGAGATGCTGCACATGGGTAGAAGGAAGCTGCCAGGTGTTTGGGCGTCTGAGACCGTAGCCCCAAGCGTGCTTATACCCCCTGCTGAGTCCTGTCCCTGCGTGGGGTCTGTAGGCAGTGGCACTGCTCTCTCCTTAGCCACTGTGGGCAGGCCTCTTAAACAGCTTCAGATGCTCCGCCCACACCTCACTTTGGGGCAGGTTGTCCCTCTGTCCTCCTCCCCATCTTCTGCCGGTGCCCTCAGCACATCCTCCCCATCGATATTCCAGATGAGATCATCTCCGGGCCGGTTTCCTTGCGGACTCTGAAGCCGGTGGCCGACAGAGCAAACCCTCGGATGGGCATAGGGATGCTGGCTTTCAGCCCCGACAGCTACTTCCTAGCAACACGGAACGGTCAGTATCTGCTGCCCCCTCCCCGGGATGCCCCTCATCTGCTGCAGTGGGCCAGCAGCTTGTGTGGTGGCTCCTTGCCACCAGCCCTGTGCCCTGGCTACCTGCCTGTCCCCTTCTGCAGGCCTCCTCACCAGGCAAGAGCTGGAGTCCAGGACAGCACCACTCTGTGCTGTTTTTATGTTTCTTACAATCCTTTATAAATGTAAAACCCACAAAAAATGGGTTGGTGTTCCATGAAGCCTGTCCTTGCTTTCTTCCAGGTGCTCCCCTCAAAACCCAACCTAGTGCTCTTCCTCGAGCCAGGGTTTGCTTGCAAAGGGCCAGCGTTGACAGGGTGCTCAGCCCTCTGCTTCCTTGCAGACAATATTCCCAATGCCGTCTGGGTCTGGGACATTCAGAAGCTGAGGCTGTTCGTGGTACTGGAACACCTGTCCCCAGTGCGTTCCTTCCAGTGGGACCCACAGCAGTCAAGGCTGGCCGTGTGCACAGGAGGGAGCAAGGTGTACCTGTGGTCCCCGGCAGGCTGTGTGTCTGTGCAGGTGCCTGGGGAAGGTGAGCACATCCCAGCAGCTGGGGCCACTATGGCCTCTGCAAAGCCTGGGATTGGACAGGCTTGTCGGCTTAAACCCACTGCGCCCTGCAGCAGCAGCAGCATGCCCTCTCCATAGCTTTCAGGAAGCTTGGAGGACCCACTGCCCTGAGCTTTCCAGGCTTAGGTGTCAGCCCCCAGGGTGGGGGAGGTGGGTAGCCAGGCCTCTTGCTCATCCACAGGCTGCCCTTCCGGAGTCCTGGCCTCTGCTCTAACCCTCCAGCCACCTGTCTCCCTAGGTGACTTTCCAGTGCTTGGCCTGTGCTGGCATTTGAGTGGAGACTCCTTGGCTCTCCTCAGTAAGGACCACTTCTGCCTCTGCTTCCTGGAGACCAAGGAGGGGTTTGGCTCAGCCTGTGGACAACGGGACGGCCATGCCTAGGACCTGGGTGGAAACTGAGGTACTGGGCCCTGCTGGTGCCAACACGAGGAACAGCTGCACAGGGCTTTCCAGCTGGGGTGGGGCACTCAGGGATCAGTTTTCTGTAGCCAGGTATTTCTGTAAATATGTATGGTATAAAGCTGAAGATATTTGCTACTTTGTAGAACGCTGGTATTTGTTTGTTTCAAGGTCTTAGATCACAGGGTTTTCCAGGTCAGTCTCAGATGAATGAATGAGGTAACAGCACTTACCTCCCCTGTGGCTGGCTGTGCTTTTCCCTGAATCCCATTTCCAGCCAGAGTGCTTTGGAACAATGGGCTGCTTATTGGACCCGTCTGGCCCCTCGGTAGCAGGAGCTACTCTGAAGGGCCATGAGGCCCCAGCATCTGGGCCTGGCCTCACAGAGACCGACAGCTCCAAGTTGTACCACAGCCAGGCAGGTCTCTAGCCTTGCAAGTCAGTTCTGCAGGGAACTGTTCTGCAGTTCTGGGTCTACCTGGGGTGCAGAACAGTGCCCGAGTCTCAACCTGGTAGAGGGGAGGTGCCCAGCACACCTCCATGTCGCTATAAAGTGCCTGGCAAGCAGACCAGAACATCAGGACTGGAGAAGCAGGGTTCTAACTGGACTGTGGGCTGGCTCATGTTTCTCTCGAGAGGGCAGCTCTGGGGAAGACTCACCCCCAGCTGGCAGTTCAGAGCTCCTCAGGCCTCAAGGCACTCTCCTAGGTTGGCACACCTATTTTATCAACTTGAAAAACTGAGCAACATCCATTTGGTTTTAATCATCTTTACTCTTAAGACCAAAAGCACAGGTTAAGACATAGGTGCACCCGAGGCCACCCTTCCTCTTGGACAGGCCATGGCATTCTGGTTGCATCCATGCCAGTTAATGTAAAGCTGTGGCAGGTACAGAGAGCGGTACCCACAGAGCACTGACAGTACAGCCGCATGAGCAAGCTGTGGACAGGAGGCACACAAACGCTTGTCAGTGTCACTGTGAGGATGCTGGCGTCAGGGTCAGCGTGGGGTTCCGGGAGGCTAGCATGCTGTGCATGCACTCTTAAATTATTCCGTCCCTTTCAGATAGACAGAGGATATAAACATACAGTGACCTCCTAAAGGTCATATATTAAGCACTCTATGGCCCTTTTGGACCTGGGAAAGACACTGTTAAATATTAACACAATTTGGATTAAATTTTACAGAGTGACTTGAAGTCAAACATTTACAGAAGGACAAGTGTACTAGGAGCTGGCCAGGCAGATTCTCACTCTGGCCAGCCAGGCAGACTGTCTTACCAAATGACCAGGCTGCTCATTGCTATATTTACTTAAAAAAAAAATGGACTGAATTTCAAACTACAAAACTGGACAGGAGCCAGTGGTGGCAGACATGAGTCATTAGGCCCCACCTTGTATTCACCAGTCCACAGAGTGGAGGTGGGTGGTGACCCACTGCTCGGCATACTGGAGGGGCAGGGCAGGAAGACACACAGAGACGTAAGTGCAGTTGCAGAACAGCAGCACAAGGACAGCCAGTGCTTCTACCTTATTTAGCCTCATGTTACCAGGTGTCTGACATCTGACTAAACATATGTTTCACCTGACTATGCTAATTGCTCAAGATACCTAAAGGAACAACCCCTCATTCTCCCAGCTGCAGCAGGTGCCATCGGGCGGTGCCGAGTTCCCCCATCAGCATGGCTCTCCTGGGGGTCATGGCATCTTTTTAAAAGCCTATTTTGCCCCTGGTCATGGAGTAGCCCAGCTTGGCTTCGTTGTTGATGAAGGACATCAGCCCCACATAGGTCTCGATGAGAAGGGGGCGCTCCAACACCAGCAGGCTGTTTGCCTGTCCTGGCAATGGGCTCTCTTTTTGGGCTTTCTTGACAGCTTGGATTAACAGAGCCTTGAAGCTTTCCAACTTAAAAGAGAAAAAAAACAGAGTTTTAACCTTCAGGGAGATAACAGTCCTACAGTACGCAGGAAAAATGAGGTGTTCAGGAAAAGGATAATTTGAGACATTGACCACACAGACTGAGCAGCTCAACAGGTTGCAAGAGCTGTGTCATCAGGTAATTTATCCTTGTGTAAACAGGGACAGACTTTTGTTAAGTCTGCTCAAACCTAGGCAGTGCAGGACGGGTCACTCAACCTGGCCTCAAGACATAATCAAGACCCAGCAAGGGAGCTGGAGAAGCGCCGCCAGTGCAATAGGCAGTGAACTTTTCCCCACACTGGGGCATGCTCTGAAGTGATACAAAGTATACCAGATATAGGTACCAGTGACCTCCACCACCCCACACAGGATGTGCTGTGTGTTTAGTGACCAGCAGCAGTGGTCTGTTTAAACAGCGTCATCACAGATACGGAAGAACTCAGGACTATGATGTCACTAGGTGGCAGTTCTGCTCTACCCTGGGAATGCCTGTCTGTGCTGAACACGGGGTTGAAGAGGCTCCCTCAGCACCTCCCAGCGGCTCTCTAGAGATGCTGATACCTTACCAATGTGCTCCTGTGAGGCCAGCCAGCACCTGCAGAGCCCGTAGTGTCCACAGGACTGTGTGGATTTACCATGTTGACCCATTTGACCCTCATTTCCCCAGGCACCAGCCTGACTCCAGGCTGAGCAGCCTGCAGCAGGATGGGGCCTCCCTGTTCCCAGAGGCCTCTCTTAATAGCCCAGTGTGGGATTGGAGATGTCTCAGAGGTTAAGAGGATCTGGGTTCGGTTCCCAGTACCCATGTGGCAGCTCACAACAATCTCCAGTTCCAGGGGATCCAACGTCCGCTTATGGCCACTGTGGGCATTGTACAATCTGGGTACATTTACATACTTGTAGGCTAAACACTCATACACAAAATTAAAGAAGAAGAAAAAAAAAAGAGTCCCACCACCCATGTCATTGTCAGAAGCCTGTCACTGCTGGAGGGGGAGGGTCCCTGCTGGGGGGCAAGGTTGGGGGGGGTCCTTGGGAAGAGAGGGTCCCTGCTGGGGGGCGAGGTCCCTGCACTGCTTACTTGGCACAGAGATGCTGTCTTCTCATCCACACCAGCCATCGGGTGTTCTATGAAGGTGGAATACGGCACATTTGTGGACCAGGGGTTCCATCTGTTGATGAAAGAAGGGCGGCTCTGCTTGTCCCACTGGATGCGAACCCCAAAGCCTTCTCGCCTGAAAGGAGGAAGACAAAGTCTTACCACAGCAGTGCAGCACCAAATGGCTCAGGGGAAGCAGGACAGCTCCCTGTCCACAGGGACGACTTCAAACGGTCCCCATAGAAAGAGGCTTGATTTGTGGTTTCTAGTAGCAACAACAGTCTCCGCTAACTGCTTTAGGTACTTTTTAAGTGTGCCAAATTAAATGCACGGTCTTGTTGATGCTATAAACTTCATCTTTATATGCCTATTAAAAATGAATAGGAACACATAGGCAGCGCAACCAGATGACTGACATGCTTCCTTTTACTTGTATGACGGTTAGAATTTGTACCCATTAGGTTCCTGGACTCCTAGCCATATTTCTACATGACAACTGGGGTTTATGCTTAAATTGGACTACGACTGAGAGGAAAGCTTCTCTGGTTCCAGAATATTCTCATAGTAAGTTGATCCACTCTTGAATACTGGTGATTGGATGCTTTCAGCCGTACCTGACCTTTAGTGGTTAGTAAGTTAGGCAGAAAGACGGAGTACAGCCCTGTATCCATGTCCGAGGAATACTCAACCCTGCCATAACCATCTGGCTCTGCATAAGAGCAGCTGTGCTTGGTGCCAGCACTCCCTTCCAAGGAGGTCCCCAAAGTCCCCAAGGCCCTTCCAGGTGAGGCCCGCAGCTTGCAGCAGAATATGACCACCGCCTCCGAGGGAGGACTCCCCGGGGTCCGCGGGCCCCGCCGGGTACCCCGTGCACCTACTTGTTGAGCGACTTCGGGGGAAACTGGAACTCCCCGCAGGAGATGGTGTCCACCGCGCTGAGCGCCACCCGCACCACCTGCTGGCACTGCAGGCTGACGAAGTCGTACTTGCAGACCAGCAGCGACCGGTCGGTGAGCAGCACCAGCCGCTCCTTCTCCTTGTTCCAGTGGTCCACCCTGCGGGACAGAGGGCGGTCACGCGCGCCGCCACCCCGCTCCGCATCCCGCCCCGGCCCGGCGCCCCTTACTCGGCCAGCAGCCACACGCCCTGGATCTCGCCGTCCTCCACCGGCCGCACCACGGCGCGGATCTCCTCCACCGCCTGCTCGATGGTGCCCGGCCGGAACACGAAGTACTCCTTGACGCGGGCGCGGCGCGTCGGGTCGTGGATGCTCACACGCGCGCCGCCACCCCGCTCCGCATCCCGCCCCGGCCCGGCGCCCCTTACTCGGCCAGCAGCCACACGCCCTGGATCTCGCCGTCCTCCACCGGCCGCACCACGGCGCGGATCTCCTCCACCGCCTGCTCGATGGTGCCCGGCCGGAACACGAAGTACTCCTTGACGCGGGCGCGGCGCGTCGGGTCGTGGATGCTCAGCGGCCACAGCGTCTGGCGCAGCGGCGTGGCCGCCCCCG